AGAATTTGATTAGCGAAGAACTTCACAGTGAAGAACTACAGCAAAAGTGAAGCACGTCATGGGTAAAAGAATTAACCTATCTATCACATCATCTTCAGCTTTGCACTTAGCTTCCGTTTCTATGGTAACAATTTCTACCATTTCTGGGGAGTAGTTTTCTCCTGTAGAATTACCTTATCTGACTCTTGTAAGGTGAAATGGTAAACTAAGAGATGTTTCAATTTGTAACAAATTCAATACGGTACTGAAACAAGAGGAAAATATTTGATTTTATTAAATTTTGGTCATTCTAAATTACTTTGATGATATTTTTCTTGAAAGCGCTACTTAACACCAGACTTCAATCCTTGTTAATATTTCTGTTACGTACCACTGGTGTCTAACCTGCACAAAGATGCACAATTGAAGTTACACTCTGGAACGAAGACATTTATGTTGAAGAGCAGGACTATCGACAGATAGGCCTACATACAGTGCGTACTGTGTGGAGGAAAGTCGACGTCGCTATAAGCAGCGCTTATGGACTGTCTCTAAGGATTCAAACTCAGAAACTGCATCTATATGGTAGGCCTATGGAAATCAGCACGAAATTGGCGGGGAACTTGGAAACTTATCAGACTTGCTAATTTGATCTGTCATGATTTACTGCGGCTCATTACAAAATATTTATATGTATATAGGGGGACATTTGAGGAAATATAGGCCACCTTTTAGTCATTTAAGTGCTGATGCTCAAAGAAACTTCAACAGAAGTTGGCAGTTAATTTCATCGATAAACTCAATATGGTATCTAGGAGTTTATCAGCTGAAGGTCACATTTAGATACAATGCGGTCCCTTCGGCCCGCACGCTTGACGGAGGCTGACTAATTAATCACGGCATAGCAACCATGTGCACGGAGGCCAGCGTAATCACAAAGTCATTATAATAAAGTAATCAAATAATAACCAGCAAATACAGGCGGATCGATATGTAGCACCTTGCTAACATTGAAGTGGACATAACGAAGGACAATAACCAGCTTGAAAAATCGCCAGTTATATTGCAACTGCATTGCATGTACAGTGTTTGTTTTCGGTTTAATGGAACCAAATTTTGGAAAGTTATTGTTTATATAATAAACAATAACATACAATTATATTTTGATTGTGACTTGACCAAATTAAGAAAATTGCATTGAGTATAAATGTGATAAGTAAGGCAAACATAAACTGCCTCCTAGTTCTTTATTTTTAAACAAGACCTAATCGGTATGTTTCATTTCGGCAGGGTATAGAATATAACTTTAAAAATATTAACAGCATTTAAGCGATGTCCAGTGGGCAAACAAATTACATGTGGTTTTACATGACAAAATAAACTATCAGACAATTTATGAAGACTAATCGGTACTTCGAATGTAAATAACACAAGAATTTTCGAACAGAAGGTTAGGGCCTTAAAAGGAATGAGCTATTTTCGTACCAAAATAGTGAGAGCATTTTTTTCTTGCCTATGATCGTCCAAATTCATGGGCGGGAAAGTTCAATACAAATGTAGATTTTTAATTCTTTAAAACCTTTAATTCATAATGTTTAGCTTTCATACTTAAGGAAATCTACTGGGATGTGAGAAATTTTATCAAATATGTTAACTTGAGGATTCGTGAATATTCCGCATATTTATACAAGCAACACAACATGAAGCGTGAGTGCGATGAATCATAGTACATAGAAAATGTAATGAAAGTTCCATTACGGGTCTCAAGATGCATAATTACGTCAAAAGGGCTGACATTCAATATTTGTCATTCCCGTAACCATGACGCAAGTTTTACTATCAATAATGTCGAAACCTCTTATATTGTCAACAGCCATGCCAACAAAAACCTGACAACAGATTAAAACGATACATCGATTCTAAAGCTTCCGACGGATGAGCGCGAAGTCCATTCTATCTAATAAAGATTCTTGGCAATAAATCTCTTCCAAACTTTCATCTTCTTTATACGAGCGTTTCACTTCCACTGTCCACTTTTCATATGAAAACAAGTACACTTCGGTTAGATCGATTTATGTCATTGAGGTAGCCTGATGCAGATTGAATGTTACATCCATATTATGCGTCACAATGACTGAATTGATAATCCTTGGCAAGCATACATCTTTTAGACTCACGAGACGGGTTTCCGAAGTCCAGGTCCAGACCAAACACCTTTTGCAGGTTGTTTCCTTTGCAAGGATATCAACCTACGGCTTGTGTATCAAGTGAATGGTGAAAAAACAATTGGCAAGGAAATTGATCGACAACTGAACTGCAGCTTTGCATGAAACGCTCTGACATGAATCCTTGTCTTTGAGTGCAGGACTCAAGCGCGGCTGAAAAATCTATACAGTCACCTGCGGTCGGTGAGCTGTTAAAATGGTCGGAATGTACTGCATTGTGTCTTAAGCACCACGAAAACGACGACAGATGCTCACTAATTAGATGGCTGCGCGCTGTACGCTGCTTCGCTGGTGACCAACGTGTACTTGGTCGATGCAGGAAGCACTGGATCGAAAACGTGTACCCAACTTGAGCATCGAACAAAAACCGCATTAGAAGTCAGCAGGCGTACCGGCCTTGTCTTCCAGTAAACATCCCCACAAAGCGAGGAGGAATGAGCTTGAAGTTGAATTGGAAGAGGATAGTTCCCTACCGTCATTTAATGACTTGGAAATATGTGGAGGACTGTAACTTGCTTTGTGTAAAACGTTAGGGAAATATATTTCATTCCAAGACCACTTACACTCTAAAGATTGAATTTAATGAAGTCTATTCAGACCAAACTATGTCCATCCCGATGAATATTGGGGGTATGGCATTGTCTTTTTTTTATTCGGTTTATTAGTTATTCCTTCGTTTCCATATTTAACGTCCTGAGTAGAAGCAGAGGCGCTGAAATTCATTCAAACCCATTGACACACGAAAGATAAATCAAAGTGACAGTATCTAAGGAGAGCTTCTTCATTAATTAAAAAAATCAAAATAATGGTAAGGGATGTTCTTTCGAACTGGGACTTTCAAAACAAGATTTGAACAATTACTGTAGTATTAATGAAAACATAAACCATGCAAGATGTACTGATAACTTTTTTTTTCTAAATTGATGTCAATCTGGTAGGTGAGGAGTTTGAAAGAGTGTATTTAAACTGCTTAAAAAGGAACTTGTGCGAGTAAGACAAATACACTGAAAATATTTGGGGCGCAGTTCTAGTCATAACAACGAAAACAGCTTATGCAAATGCCATGATGAGCTCTGTTGGTCAATGGTCATTCAGGCAAGACAATAAACTCTCATTGCCAGAAGCCAAGACTGTAAGACAGTGTCCAAATTACTTGGCTATGTCTTCGAATTACACGCAAATCTATGGGTAGTGGGTGCATATTTTCAAGCCACAGCCAAGAAATCGGAAACAGACCTTGCGATCATTATTGTGCACGTCCGATGCGGGGGCTGTTATCGGCTGTCGATACATGTATGTGCATGTATGATGAACGTAACTATATAGATTTCAAATTTTAAAGATTAATATTCACAAGCGATTTTGCTGCATAGTGTAAATACGACTAAATTGCATAAGCAAGAAGCGCTTGTGTCCAGGCCAGCAATTAAGGATGTCTGTATCATCTATGTGAGTTTGAGTTCAAGCATTGATTATCTCCCAGCGGGATCTTCAAAGGACCATGGAAGAGAGGAAAAAACACTTAAAATTAGAAGACATGTTTTCATAATTTTTTAAAAACTAAGGTTGTTCTTTTTGAACTTTGTTCCCCTACATACTAAACCAATTCAGTTCAGTGGAAATAAAACATAAACTCGCCAGGGCAATTGTTATTGCTAATCACCCTTGGAGAAACAAGTGCGACATTTTGTGTCCAAGGTGTAGAAAATGCAATTTGCCGTTTTCGTGTTTTGGCATAAAGAAATGTTCAAAAATCTGCAGAAAAAGGCCAACCTGACAGAATGGGCAAGGAATTGTTTTCACAAAATATTTCGAATTAGACTAAATCACTTCCGGGCTAGAAAATGTGCCCTTTGCTGTGGAAAACTTTAGACTTGACACTTTGGTCTTATGGGCAGATGGTAACAGATTTGATCCAAATTAATTGCGCAAGATTTAAGGTCAAGCTTGTATAATTTTGTAGCTTACCTGTAACGAATAAGTTTTCCATTTGTGACGCTTTGCACAACTCTTTTTGCCGAAAGGATGAAACAGTTTTCCGAGGATGTTCTGCTTTCATTATTATGCAGGTTTTTGCAATAGCAAAACGTATTGTTGATATTAAATTAGATTTGAACCTATTCTGCGATTCTAGAGCATTCTGCGATAGAAGAATTACGAATGATTTAGTTATCCATCAGCCCATATAATTATATTTTGTAGTATGAGAATACATACTGAATATTAGAGTGACACAAATTTATTTCGAATAGCTTTACTAGGTAATCTTCCGTCGTGACAAATGCGTGTAATTTGTTCCATTTCATTTACATGTCACGCGTGGTTCATTTTAATGTTATTGTGGCATTGCTGAAAGTGGATGACTTATTTACAAAATTCTCAAACTACTGTAATGAAACGAAATATACTGATATTTTATTTATTTGACATGACACTACGAAAATGTGCATGGTATACATTTATGAGAGAGTTTGTTGACAAAATATAATCATCGTGCTATATTTGGAAAGATGACGATAGTTTTAACGGCAGTTAATTAAAGAAATTTTCCACTAAAGAACATCCTATAACTTTTCCATTTGAGCATGCAATGTTGCAATGAAGCAAATACTGCCCAATGATCAAGAAAGGCTGTCGTTTCTGCCGGTTAAAATAACTAAGTTTTGTTCCCGATAGCATATCGTAACGGCTTACGAGTAATTGTGCTACGAATCTTCCGGCGATGCGTGACATTTTTCTCCTTAGAAAAACAGACACAAGGGTACTACACATTTAGACCACTGGGCTTGCACTTACGTTGGACGGCGGATCTTCTGATTATGCTCTCCAAGAAGGTGTTCTGTGGGGCCACAAGGCCCCGCCTTGACGTAGGCATTGTTCGCCAAAAAGGGGCACCTCTCAGGAACTTGTCGACCTTATTTCCTAGCGTTTAGATCCAAACAGACGCATCTCCAAGCCAGCTGTTGGTAAACAATCCATGATTTTGCCATTGTGCGAAGGAAAGCACTGTTGCCGAACGGAGCGAGGTACGACGTTCTTGAAAGCGCATGGCTGTGTGCTCGCCTCGTCTGTTGGTTCAAGCCGGTATCAGCGAAATTACGGCGCTGATCAACGGTCGGCCTTGTACATGTTGACGGGGTGTTCATTATTCATGCCAGTATCACATGCTGGCATCACAAACCAATAGACGCATACGTTCTGCTGCTGCCTCCGAGAGGTACCACTATAAGCAAGCCGTAAATTGCCAAAGGCAGACGGCACCGCCGTTACCACGGCAACTAAATTTGCGATGCAATGTAAGACTGGGGCGAGACCTGGCCCCGCCTCGAGATGTATTCAGGTAGACCTATGACTCTTGTTAGCTGGCCCTGTTTCCCGCAATATGGAAAAGAGGAAGGGGTCCTTTTCTTAAGGAAAGCAAAAATTTATTCAGGTAGTCAATACTCTGCTCAGGTTGTTAATATTCTGTATGCAGAGCTTGCTGGTTAATTGATGGCTCGGTAACAACACACTTAGAGCCCCACGAACCACGCAAGCATAATGCACATTTCACAAAATAACAGCGACGCTTTCATCTTGGTTTCACAGTAATGCCGCTATCATAATTCAAGTGTCGGGGAGTTCGAAGGTCTGGGGCACTAATGGTACTCACACATTATGCACACCAAAGCTGTTATGACGTTCGATCACGCAAAATTTTAGACAAATGCATCTATGGCCGTATGAGGTGTAGCCATTTTGGTGACAGTATAGACATAGGCAGGCTGTATTAAGTTGCAAATTCATGCCCTGGACAGTCATCCTGGGTAAGTGACAAAGACATACAGAGACTGCATGGGCCTCATAACATTGTTAAAACGCGTACTCTCTTACAAAATCAACATTACAAGTGTAGTGTGAAATAAGGTAACAAATCGTCAAAATCCCTTGTAAGAAACTCAACATTACAGTCAACAGTGTTATGGAAAAAAGTATCTGAAATTAAACACGTGCGAAGTAAAGTGTGAGGTTGGAGACACGAAACTTAAACAGCTAGAAATTATGTTAAGCCCCTTTACACTTCATAGAAGCAAAAAAGGGGAGACCGAGGTGGACGGATCAGGCTTGGTCTGAATATTGCTCTGACTCCCTGCCAATGTGGCCCCGTCATCCTGACACCCCATGCGGCTAAATGGACCGAAGAAGTAACAGTCAACAGTGCCCCATAGACACACACAAGCCTGGTATGTTCAACATTTATGCTCTTCAGAGACTTCAGAGAAACCTTAATCGCAGACTTACAAGAGTACTGACAATGGGCATAATAAACTTAGACCGTCTAAAGGCCTGTTCTCTCTGGGATTTATTGAACACAAACTTAGCTCAAATGAGCCTCCATGAGTTCACAAGAAACATAACCCAGCAACCATCCCTTCAGCAATAAACGAACAAAGCCTGAGCAAGGTTGTTCGAACTCATTTGAACAAAATTGTAGATTTCGTAGCGTAAGTTTTCGGGGTGGGTACTGTTCAATTGTCGTCTCTGCAGTGAGGGGACAGTACTGTACGCTACATGACGGGGCCACTACGACCCTTTATAAATGTGGTATCCATACCTGGTTTTCAAAAGTAAAGTGAGGTAAAGTAATAAAGCTAGGTATGAATATCTCAGACTTTTCAGACGGTTTTTCGTTAGACATTTTTGTCTCCTGCGGTGTGTTTATCTCCACCCAAACTCTATAAACGCTGTACACTTGAATTCCCACCAGAGCACGTGTACTGTACATGGTCGTAACTCTTTGAGAAAGATAAAGACAATAAAGCAACAAGGTCTGCAACAGCCTCCCAAATTAGGAAACTTTGAAGTATAAAGGGGACAATCTATCATTCGAAAGAGGGAGTATTTTTATTACATTAGCAACCACTGTTACAACTGATAATGAAGAAACCAACGGATAATGTATCAACGTACTATGGAGTTCTGGAAGTGCCATCCGACTTGTTCAGATCCTGACATATATTTCTCGGGATGGGAACATAATAAAGACAACATGTCAACATCCTGAGATAATTTATCACGGGATGAAAGTTGAATGATGACAGCCTCATATACTTTATCATAGGATGATTACACTCTAAAAGTTGGGTGGAGACATCCTGAGATAATCATTATCTCAGGACTTCGTCATCCAGAGACACCCAGCAAATGTCATGTCTACTTCACTGAATGTAACAAGCGGTTAGGCATCATGACGTTGTATCAATCTAATTAATATCATGTATGGCAATAGGAAGACAATACTTTAAAAAGACAAAAGTACCTCAGGTCACCTGTGTGTTTTCAAGGTGGTTTGTCAATGCACCCATTCACAAAATCAATAATGTCATTATTCCACCCTTTCAATGTCGTCATCCATGATAAATTATCTCGGATGTCGTCATCCTATGATAAATTATCTGAGGATGTCATCATTCGACTTTTAACATGTCGCCATCCCGTAATAAATTTTCTCAGGATGTCAACATCTTGCGTGTATTATTTCGTCATCCCGACAAAAAGTATGTTAGGATCTCAACAAGTCAGATGGCACATCAAGAGCTCCGTAATCACCAACCGATATTGTATTACAAAGACCGATGGTGTAGTGAACCTTCTGACCAATAATGTATCACGAGTTGACGGATAATGTAGTAACAAAAATACTCTAACCGATAACGTATCACCATAGAACAGAATCACGTATCAACTGATAATGTATCAAACTATCAACCGATAATGTATTAGTGCCCATTATGTTCTCTATAAAGCCGCAAATGACTTGGAAAGGTATAATAATCAGGATGTCATTAGACTGGCAGGTGCTGTAGGGACAGTTTTTAAATACTCGTTTCTATCGAGTTGTATGATCACCTGTTTTGTGGAAATCAGTTATTTCTTCTTCCATGTTTGCACCTTGTCCCTTTACTGTGTTCGTAGCCTAAAAAGTGATAACCGGTACAATGTTCAGCTTTTGCTTACAAGTGCCGTGACGTCATCAAACCAAAGGTTTGGCGCATCCAAGATTTTGTCATGGGGTAGGGGGGCGACTTGTACAGAGTAGAATCCAGACGTGGGTGATAAAGAGCGCTATTTTTAAAATGAGGTTAGTGGGACCCTTGACCTCAGAGCCTTACGTGGTGGACAGAATGAGTTGCAGGGTATTCTGTATTCTTGGTTTGAAGGCCTTCCAGTTGTTCCACGAAACGAACCATCACACGTACTGTACGTACATGTGCAGAGCGCTATCCCCCCACGAATCGTTACCCTGCGATAACGACCTTGTAGTGATAGCTCCCTCTAACGGTGCACGTGTGTGATTCGTGTCGCAGAATAACTCCTGGAAGGTCTTGGAACCAAGACTAGGTATTCTGCAATATTGTGCCAGTGCCACCTGTGTTGTCCCAGTTAAATAATTATGTTGGTCACTTTGAGCCCTATATACGAACATGAAATTGACTTTATATGTCAAACTGGAGTACATGATTACTGTAATTCAATTTTAGATTTCCTGCGTTACCTCAAGTTTTCATTTTGTAATGCGCCGATCAAACATTTTCCCCACCCATCCCCGCGCTGCCCCAGGCCTGATGTGTATGTGTAACCTGAGCTGTCAGAAAAGATACATTGTAATGCTCCATTAATCTGAGAGCATGTTTCCCCACAATGTGGAAATTTACTACAAGCTGAATCGTATGATCTGGGTATAGTAGCGGCATAGCCAGCGGGGGACGGGGTGGGGGAACACTGCCCCCGGGCAATGAAAATCATGAAGGGTAAGAATAAAATAAGGAAGGTAAAAAGATTGAAACAGAAAGAATGAGAAATAAAATTTAGTGCAGAAAAAGGTAGAAAAGGGGAAAGAGAAGAAGAACCGAACAGAAGAGAAGTAAAGGGAAGGTAAAAGGGAAAGAGGGCTCATTTTGATCGACCTTTCCAAAACTATTTTTTCGGGACCCGAATCCCGCGGCTGCTTTTGAGGAATACAAAATCTTGCCCCCCCCAAAAAAAAATATGCGGGGTTCTTGATCCACCTTTGACAACGACAAAATTCAACCACCGAATTCAACAACCAATCCAACAAGGAAGCACAAAAACCTAAATGTTTCCAAATAGTTCCCTTGGGAGACATTTTGTGGTAAATTTTTCAACATTAGGGGGACATCGGACATTTAATGCTCCAACTACCAAAAGGAGGAAAATTTCATAATCCATATTTTGAGAGATGATTGATTAGGGTCTGAAAGGAAAACATGCCAAGTTTGGTTAAGATCGGATCAGGGAATATTGAATTATGGGACGGTAAAGTTTGAAACATCTGGTGCACTTTCCTATGGGAATGTCTCCCAAGTGACCCTTTTTCGGTAAATAAAAATATGGAAATTATACGTGGAAGTATGATTAACGCGCAACTTTCAGTTTGATAACGTCACAACACTTGGAAGCAAAAGCTGAACATTGTACCGGCTATCACTTTTTAGGCTACGAACTTTAGATAACTTTTGTTATCTAAATTTTCCCAACACCTTGGCAGCATGTAATCGCTCGTACCAGGCTCCTCTACACCTCTTGGAAGCCAAACTATGTTTTATTGGAACGACAATTGTTAACTTCACCAAGCAATCCAATTAACAATACCAATAATTTGCGATTAAAGAATTTACAGACGAAATCTTAATTAAAAATATGTTCAGCCTTTGTGTGTCATTAGAAGTTGCTTGCTCAACAGGTCACCTGGTTACCGAGAAGCTCGACTACTCATTTTTTTATGCTTTGACATGCATTTTCTCAATATTAATTATGTCACAGGTCCAAAAGATTGGTGAAGGATTGCAGAGCCTACGTTGTACGATACACCCTACATTAATTTGCCGAAGGTCGTTGAATCCGGTTGGTAAGTGTAACGTCACCAGCTTAAACCACGCCCACTGCACACGTGCACTGCAGATAGAGTTATATGCATTGATTGCAGTTTACATGGAACCGTGGAACCGGAAGTTAACGCGCTACTTCAGCGATTGTCCAATGAGAGCCTGCAAATCGTGGCGCGTCCGCCTTTGTGACGAAGTCACGAACCGGATGGACTTTGCGTACACGCAGAACGCGTGCGGGGACGCGCTTGTAACCACCTGTTTT